AGAGACAGCAGAGCTGTGATTAGAGCTAAGCAGTAGTAGATAGGTCAACAGAAAAATTATGTAAAATGTAGAAAAGCAAGGACAAATAAAACAATGGTCTGTGTATTAACACTTGTCTAAAATAACTCCCTAAGCTACAGAAAAGCTTATCTAGCAAGATATTAGGAAGTTTTAAGCTGCATAATGGAGCTCTGTGCATTGTGTTTTAAGGCTTACAAGCAGGTGTTGTATTTGAAATAAGCAAGCATTTGTTTTAAGAAAAGGTTAAAACGTACAAAAGGTAGTGTTTGGACGGAACTACTATCAATGTGCTTTTGCTTGGTGTGATTGGTCAAAAAACTTATAAAGTAAGTTGTAGCAGTGAGTTCTTCATCTGCTGCTGGGGATGTGAGCTGCTGGCATCTTCCCATTGTCATAACCATGTAATGAGACTGATGCTGGAAAATAAAACAGCTCAAAGCACATTCCCAGCAGTCCCATCCCGTTTGTGATTTGTACATAGCCCCTGGCCAGTGATACTCCCCTGGGGGTCAGGACACCCCAGAGCAGACAGAGAAATATTCCCCGTGCCCTGGGTTTCCACATGCCACAGTGATCTGGAACCAGTACGAGGATCAGGCCTGCAAAGATCATGGAAACATTTCACACATCCTTAAAAACATGGGGAATTATTCCCTCCTGCCCCTCCAGAGAGCTCTGCTGCCTTGGAAGAGAGAGATCCAGATGGAATTTTAAAAACCTCTTACATACAGCATCAATGTAATTGAGAGACAGGATCCATTACCTGACATGCTCCTCCATTGCAAAACCAAGAAGTTTTCCTGGTTTTTTTGTCTTTCTAGGAACAAAGTCAGTCTTTGGAACGTTCAATTTCAGTGTGAAAAGTCCAGATGGATTTTGACAAGAGCCTTGAAGGCTGTTGCAGTTTGTCATGGTTGTGATCTCGAGACAAGAGTTTGACAATGGATCAGTGGGGAGTTTAACAGCATAACAAATGACAAAACCCATCCCCAGAAAATGACACCCTGAGGAAAATAGAGGTTTTTCTTTCAGGGAAAAAAAAGAGAAAAAAAGCCTGGACAGGAAAGGTGAACCTTATCATTTTGTGCAGAAGAAATCACAACATTTGCATGAAATTCCTGTTGAAATTCTCCTGAGGTATCACACTCCTGTCATTCCCAGGCACTCCACAGGGATTAGCAACTTCATGGGAAGGAGCCAGTGTGATTCTTGAGCTTTGAGCATCAACAGCCTGAATGAATAAATAAAAGCAGATAAAGTTATGTTCTCTGAACAGGGGATGTTCCTGCATTTGCAGCCCCTTGTTTCAACACGGGCAGAGGCCACTGGGTCTTTACAAACCAAGCCAGGTTTTCTCAAACTGGTCCAGAGGCTCAGGGAGTGAAAAGTCACCTGGCTTATATCCAAAGGGACAGTCCTGGCGTGCCCTCCCACCTCCAAAACCCCTCTGTTCCCATCCCCAGCAGGAAGGGCTGTGGCTGTAACACAATTTATCTTCAGGTTTGATCTGCTGGCAGTGTTTGGTCAGGGGTGGAAGGGTCAGTTTGGCCACATGGGCTCAGGCCACTGATGAGCAGGAGCTCTCCTGACTCTTTTACCCAAAAATCAATGTTCCCATCCCTTCTGATCCTTCAGGATCCCTCCAGACTGGCATTTACTCTTTGTTTCAGGGACCAAACCTTCCAAAGCCTTTCCCAACTCAAGCCTGTTCTTCTGAACACCCCGACACCAAAGTTCCAGCTCTTTCTGTAACTCCAGCTCTCCCTGCACAGCTCCCTCCTCTCTCATTCCCTCCTCCTCTCTCACTCCTCATGGCCTCCCCAGGGACACTGCAGCTCTTTCCTGCTCCTCAGCACTGCCTTTCATCTCCTCCTGTTCCCTCTGGACACCCTCCCCTGCCCACATCAGCAGGAACACTGCAGCAAACAGCCACTGCCCTCCAGGCCACATCCAGGAGTTGGAATCATCTCTCCATGTGAAAAATGCATGTATTTTATTATTGGCTTTTTGCAAATATTCAAATGAATATTATATGTGTTGTGTTAGAAAGTGATGCTGTATTAATTATCTTAAGTAGTGTGGTAAATATAGCTTTAGGTTATAAAAAATGTTAAAATAGAAACTTTGCTATGTAGGATATTTTTTTTTTTAAAGAAAGGACTCAGCCACAGGACACCTCAATCTTTCAGAGAAAAAGAATTTATTGCTCCATTATCAGAAGAAACGAACTTCTTCCTGCCTCGAAGGTGCTGTTGGGATTCAG